GTATACAGTACAAGGTTGATGAGGATGATGAATGCCACAACCCTTCCGAGGAGTCGACGACATTTTGTCCTCTTCTGCCAGGGCAGCGCCTTAATGTCTTGGATGTGCCCCGCGAAGGGGGACACAGCCGCAGTATCTCAGATACCTCTTCCGCTTTCACACGCGACCCCAAAGATAGGTATCTGACTCCAGTACCACCTAGTCTAAGGCCTGGACTGCCTCCAAGATCAGGTAGTAGTGGCGAGGCCTACACTTTGCCTCTGCCTTCGCCTTGGACCCCTAAATCAGCGACACATCCACCCACAGAAGGCTTACTGTCCCCACATGTAGTGCGCCATGCCCGCAGCGCATCAGCATCCCCCTACATGCCGTCTACTCCCATCTTCCCGGACTTCAAGGTTCTGAAAGAGAAGTTGGCATCGAAACGATCAGCTTCGAGGAACCGCAGCGGATCAAAGACCAGAGAGCTAGACATCAGTGCGCCAGTACTCGTCAGTGGAGGAGAGGAGCTCAACCTCATTCCGTTGTCTGTGTACCGACCCTCAATCGAGTCTATCAGAGAGGTGGAGATACCCACCACAACAACGTCGCGCGCAGTACCGAACATCCGAAGGGAGTTCTCCCCGCTGGCATCGCATCCTGTTGATCCCGTCCATGACTCATTGTTTGGACCTGCAGAGCTGCCCGCTCCTGATGAGCGCCCTATCAGGCGTCGCCGCTCGCACGTTCCCTCAACTGTAATCACAAGCGAGTTCAAGGTCGAGCAAAATCGCCTTCGTGCAAACTCTAGCGACACGAGACGAACCCAGCATTACCTATTCTCTAATGACCCTTGGCTTTCGTCTCCAAAGCTTCAAGAAGACTTCGAAGTGGAGGATCGTGTGGTGGAGGATGACACCCCATCTGCGCCAGTACTCTCACGACCGTCGACATTCCTCGGTGCTCCTATGTCGAATGAGCGACCCAGCTCAAGCCATGGTGGCAACCAAAGCACAAATCTTCGTCAGTCACCACTGGACAAAGAGCTTCCAGCCCTTCCTCGCTACCTGATACCCGCACCACTCTACGCATGCAACGAAGCCACGATCAGTGAACTTCCAGCCAGCGAGCCAGAAAACGAGTTCGAAGAAGACGAAGACGATGAGCGTCTCAACAACTTCAGCGTGTCTTTCCAAGACAAAGCACGCAGCCACTTCTCCACCTGGAGCAACGACTCCATCGGCTACAACTCACCCATCTCGGACAACAACGACGACGCCGTCCTCTCCCCCACATTCAGCTCCCTCACCAGCAACGACAGCGACATCGACACGCCCCAAGGCCTACTAATCCACTACTCGTACGCCTCACCCCGGCAAGCCACCTCCCCAAAACACACCTCCACGGTCCCTGAAATCCAAACCATCTCCACCGACACCACCGACAACGAAGAAGAAGAAGAGTCAGAAGAAGACGTCCGATCCCCCTACCGCCTCTCCACTCCACCCCAACTCAACGAACTCCGCATCTCAACCTTCGGCTCCGACCTCTTCAAAGTCGAGACGCAACACTCAGACGCGTCGTCGCGGCGCTCGTCGAGGCGCCAAGCGGCTTGCTTTGGACTTGGCTTCCAGTATAGTCTGCCCGAGCATGATGTCGGGAGTAAGACTACGCTTGACGAGTCGACGGTCGTTGCGGAGACGGAGCGCTTGCAGCGCACGATTAGTGTGCAGAGGGAGAGTTCGATGAGTGGTGTGCATGCGCTTATGGAGGACTTTGCTTTCTTGGGTGATGCTGTCATCTGAGCTGACATCCAACTCCGCTCATGGCTACGGCATCGACACACAGCTTACCACGCCCGCGATATTTACTTTTCGCATATCTTCTCGCGACATGCCCGCTTTTTCCAGCTTCTTTAACGGCCGAATAGATCTCTGCGTCTTCGCCTTTCCAGATACGCTTTTTCCATGTACAGCAATTCGGCTTTTGTTTTTTTCCACTTTTCAGATACCATCGACGCGATTATCTAGCGACTTAGCAGCGCATTGCAGGGGAGGCTTACTTGAATCAATGATATACCACGCACACGTACACATACGTTTGTGCGAGGTTGGAGGAGATATGAAGACAGCATGAACAGATAGATACAGAATGATGTTTTGAGAGAGTAGATAGTAGCATCGCAAGGTGTTGAGAATGAATCAAGATATCTAACAATAATGGTACTTTCTTCCTTGTGTGTTGATGATTGCAGATACATCTCTTTCTTGAAAAAGAAGCTTCAATGTTCAAGGGTTGGTTCAGTAATCGGGCGAAGGGCGAGTAGTCACGTAAAGTGCAGTGTTCAGTGTAAATCTTCTCATTCCGCTTCGTCTATCTGAACAATAATGTCCTGGGCAGAGGGCTATCGATATGACATTACGACTAGCTCTTTGATCGTCCAACTCTAGCACTTTCACCGTATAATTCCGACTTCTACGAGATTGTGTAGTTCTCAGCAACAGACTTGACGTCCTTGGAGAAGTTGATCTCCTGGCCCATGGAAAGGAGGGTTACAGAGGAGACCTGTTGCATCTATTAGCTTGGAAATCGTGGTGTATAGAGAAAGACAACTTACATCAACATCCACGAATGGTGTGGCCTTGCTGAACCGGACGTTCATGGGGAAGAACTCGGAATCACTGCCAGCCTGAGCCTCAAATTCGAAGCTACCGGAGCTATTCGCGTCGTCTACGGCACCAATGTTCCACTCAATGCTGTCGCCACTGACTTCGTATACGGCGTCGAAACTCGAAACGTTGGGCTCGTCGGTCTGGTATGGGATGGTGACGGTGACATCCTTCAACGAATCACCGCCGGTGAGCTCATACTCCACAGTGATGTTGTACATGTTGCCTGAGTCCTCGACCCATACGCGGAAGGTGATAGGTGGGTCGGAGATGTCGTCGGGCCGTGGTGCGAGCTTCCACTTCATGACTCCTATGCCCATGTTGGAGGGGAAGCCCTTGCTTGTGTCGGCCAACTGAAGGACCTTATCATTCCTGAAGACCGCCTTATCAACCTTGGGATGTGTCATCAGCTGTGCGCCGCGGGTGTCACCGGTGGCCAGGTCGAGTTTGACTTGCGTGAGGGAGGGGTCGGTAATCTTGAGTTGCATCTCGCCCTTGACTTCGAAGGACTTGAGAAGACCCTCACGATCCAGGCGGGCGGAGATGGTCTCGTTGGTCGTGATGTGTACGGCTTCGCGATCGGTCGAGGTGGATTGGCGTGCGCTTGCTGGAGCAACCGCAGCGGGAGCAGACGGCTTGGGTGCGACGAGCGGTTCCTCCTCTGCTGGCGCCTGTTCGCCAGTGACTTGCTCGTACATGTTGTTGGTCTTGTTCTTCTTGCCGAGCTGCATGCCCTTCTTGCCCAGAGCCAATGGCTTGCTGGTGGCCTTCTTCTTCTCGGCTTCGTAGCTGTCGTACGTGTCGGTGACGTTGGTCGTAGGCACGCTAGGTGTGAAAGCGGGATACGAAGGTGAACGACCGCCCATGCCACCGCCCATTCCGCTGCCCATACCGCCTCCCATGCCTCCACCTGCTCGCTGGGATCTCGACATTTCTTTCCTTTGCATCTCGAGCTGCTTGGCCCGGCGCTTGCGCTCTTCTGACGCCTCGAGCTCCTTATTCCGTGCGATGATTTCCTGGATGCGCTCCTCGTGCGACTCCATGTCCAAGAAGGTCTTGATCTGGCTCATGGTCAGGTTCTCCCTGTAACCCAATGTGACAATCTCGTCGAACGCAGTGAGAAGCTCAAAGGCATTCTTCTGGATCTCGCGCTCGTCAAGGGATTTGCATATCGAAGAGACAACCTGAGCGAACAGGTGCAGCGAGTTGATGTCTTGCAGGATGTTGGATTGTAGGTTGGTGATCAGAACCATGTAGAGTTCGTCGAGGGGTTGGTATACGTAGCGCACGTTGTCCTGTTCGCAGGTCGTGTGCTGGGTGCCGCTATCGGCGAGCTTGGGGAAGGATGCGAGGAGGGCTTCAATACGGGAGCGCTGCATCTCGCGGAACTGGCGGGAGACGACCGCCTTGCCGCCTCGGGTGCATATCGAAGCTGCGAGGACCACCTGGCTTCGTCAGCTTGGTGTTGTGGAGGGAGGCGCACCCAATTGTCTTCTGTGTAGTCTCATACCATCGTGTCTAGAGTTTGTAGGGGTCGCAAGGGTATACGGCGTTGTTTTGGGTGTGGTGGCTTCGTGTGCAATGTCCCTGGACTTCAGGCCGCGTTGTCGAATGTGGAGGGGAATATTGTCCGTCAGGAAGTTGCTAAGGAACACAATTCCGCCTTTTGTGTTTAGGGAGGGTGAGACGACGTGTTCAGTACGAAGAAACAAGAACACGACACGATTGTATCAAAGTCAGGACGCGAGCTGGACAGGTCACTGAGCCAGCCCAACTGCACCAGTCGCAACACCTGGAGGTTCCAAAGTGGACACCTGTAGTCACGTGCAGCTTCCGTCTGCCTAGCGGCAAATCCTCACTGACGCAGCTTCCCCTCCGCTGGGCTGTTTGACAACACCTGCAAGCTACAACTTGACTACTTCTCCTGCCTTTCCACGCGAGATATATTTTGCACCGTCGCGAGCAGCAACATCCAAAAAGTACAAAGTGCATCCACGTCAAGTGTAAGTGAAACCACCTTGGCACCTGCCACTTGCCCGCTTGCGCCAAAGCACTTTCCCATCTTAGCGCGAACACCACCGTGCTTCCTTTGTCCAATTTCCAGACAAGCCTCCTCATCCTCACCGCGTACAGGCTCTCACCATCGTAAATCCCGTGCGAAACTCATCGCCATGCCCTTGTAGCCTCTGAGCGACGCTGCGCACTCACCACAAACCCCGGTTTGCTGCATCGCCACCTACATAGTGACTCGCACCAGCTGTGACGCGCTTCCCACACTCCTTTTATTCTACGCGTTTCGACCGACAAACCAACGCCTGCAAACGCCTCAACTTGCAACCTTGATCGCATACCATGGCTGCCGCAGCACACACAATACCAGGTTTTGAATTTTCAACTGCCGACGACGACAACATGGATCTGCATTCCGACGATGGCGGCATCGACTTCGACGATGGTGACATCGATTTAGATCTCGACCCTCCGCCTCCCCAGCCCCAGGACGAAGAGATGTCCATGAACGATGCAGCCTCGGTCAACGACGTGGATGCTCAGACCGTCCCTGGCGAGCAGGACGATTTCATGGTCGACCAAGAGGATGTGATACAGGAGGATTATAGCTTCCAGGAAGATCAAGGCGTTACACTCGTTGACCAGCCTTCCGCACAGCCTGACCAGTCCGTACAGCCCACACAGTCACCACAGCCTGCCGCAGTCAACCTTCCCCCGATCCAGACGAATACCTCACATCAAGATGACGACTTAATCGACTATTCCGAGGAGGAGGGCGATGACTACCACAATCCCGAGCTACGTTCACCGTGGCTGCGAACCGAAAGCTACGCAAGCTATTACTCGGACGCGCAGGCGGTACATGACGAACTGCCTAAGGAGATGACTGAACAGCAAGATGAGATACCCGCTGATTTGCAAGCTCTATTTCCCATGCCTGCAGATAACAAGTCGCCCAGCCCGCACCGAGAGCCTCAGACCGTAGCTGATCACAGCCCGACGCGCGCAGCGGCGCATGAAGCCGCACCCTCACCCCGCCCGCAATCTATCGACGACAACGAAGAGGACAGTCAGAATGATGAGGGTGACGGCGGTGTCATGTTGCCAGCCCAGGAAGAGCATGCAGATGGTGAAACTCAAGATCAAGACTCGACACACCACGGCTATGAACAAGAAGCTACTGCTGATGACAGCGAGCATCATGACAGTGACTTATCTGAATTTCCATCTGTCACCGTGAACCTCCATGGCGAAGAGTATTGGCTTTTCAAACAGCATGACTACGACAACAGTGGAGACTGGCTCATTCAGGACATCTCGCTTGCGAAGGCTAGTTTGTCGGACCTCTTTCAAGCATGCCGTATGTCCCTGTGTGAGGATGTGTCAAACGAGACAGAGTTCGGCTTCAAATTTGAGCACTTGCAGAATCTGGAAATCTTCGAAGACAACTCGGCATGTGTAGCTGTTTCGCTTGAGCGTCTTGTGGGATACTACCGTTCGCTCCATGCACAAGATGGCAACAACAACCCAGACTCCTTTTATATCTCCTTGATGTTTCGACCGCGCTTCGCTACTCTGCTCTCAGACATCGCGAAATATGCCGACCAAGGAAGCGGCTATTCTGCTTTTGAGGCTGCCGTTATCGCTGGTGAGACACATTTCGCTGGCATGATTGGTGGGGCTTCAAGTGATGAGCCCACTGAGTGGGACACCCAAGAGCAGGATCAAGCGTACGGTGAGCAGCGCGAAGAAGCAGGCGATCATGTTGAGGAGCCGGAGTCTGCGAATGCTGAAGCACAGGCACCAGAACATGATGGCAAGGGTGATCACGACGAAGGAGAAGATGAGCGAGAGGCCCATGACGACGAGCATAACCATGACGAAGCAGAAGATGAGCAAAAGGCCTATGACGACGAGGGAGTGGATGTGCACGAGGTGGAGCACACATCGGCCGATCACGCTTCTTCCAATGAGCTCGATCAAAACGAAGAACCCACTCAGCAGAATGCTCAAGAGGGTGATGGTGTGGAGGATCCAGAGCGCGAAGAAGTTGAGGTTGCGCATTTGCCAGAAGAGGAGCAAGCACCGGCTCCTGAAGAAAGCCACAGTATGCAGGCTGCTAATTCTAGTGACGTATCCACAAACCCTCAGGAAGTTGTGGAGCAACCTCAGCAAGAGAGTCCCAAACCGAGCGAGAAGACCGACGCCGAGTCGGAGGCCCTTCGCTTGCAGGAGCAAGATGACTTGATTGACTACAGTGACGAAGAAGACGAACCGGTCGTGGATGTCAAGGGAGCTGAAGATGCTTCCGCTAATGAGCCGTCACCCTCGTCCGCGACGCTCCAAGGCGATGAATCTGTCAACGTAGATGGACATGGCTCCACCGTAGGCTCATCCAGCCACAATGAGAATGCCGCCGAGAACGCTGAGGAAGACCGTCATGGCGAAGCAGTACATGAACAGACTGAAGGCAACGACGACAATGAGCAGTCGTACCAGGACTTTGTGCAAGCCTTCGACGAAGAAGATCCCTTCCAGGACTTTCAAGCGGATGGAACAGATGATTATGGTGCAGACGCATACGACGGCGACACTAACCAAGACTTCGCCACCCAAGAGTACCAGGACCTGGACGAACAGCCAGATCTGGACTTTATGAATGGAGACGAGTTCAACGTTGCTGGCGCCGATGTGACGGATGGCAACGATGTGAACGGTACGGACGACTTCCTGGATCTGGAAAATAATCCTGAGTGGGACGCCGAGCCGGATCTTGCTCAAGAAGGTTCAGAGAAGCCGGCCATTGCAGATGATCACACCGACGCCCAAGACGGAGAGGACGGTGTGGCTGGACAGACTGCGAACGCAACGTCTTCGGCTGCAGATCCTACAACGGCCTCGTCCAACGATGCGAATGATGTGTCACCACAAGGACAAAAGCGATCCATCGACGAGGCTGGACATGGAGCGGATATTGCATCTGACTCTATAGGTAAGCTCAAGCTCTTCGCACGTAAGCGAAACTCATGCGCTGACTATTTCGAACCAGACGCCAAGCGCCCCAGAGTGTGAAGGCCCGCCGTCCTCAAAGTCTACGGGGTTTTCGACTCTACTAACATGCAGCTTCATTTCCGCCCTTTCTTCAACTCAGTGCGCCCTTGAACTAATATGATGTATACTAATAACAGGTCCGACCATGCAGAGCGCGCCGCCGGATACCAAACCTTGCGGAGGAACATGGCTACCAAAAGGTAAGAGAGTGCGTCTTCTTGCGCGTTTTCTTTGCGTTATGCCTTGCCACTACAGGGATTGCAATTTTGGCGTTGTTTCTTTCTTCTGCGCGGTTTTCTGGAGTACGCGGAGGTGGGGATGATATGTCCAGGGGTGATGGAGGATCTGGTGGTGGGAAGGTGGAATCTTCAGGTGTCTCGAGCCATATACCCGATGTTTTGAGTCGAAGTTCAGGATACCCTGAAGGGACTCTAGGCACTTTCAACCCTGAGTTGAAGAGACTGAATCGAAAAGTCACATGCACAGAATGATCCTTAGCTATACCTCGGTGGTGAATTGTTACGTGAACTACGATCAGCACAGCGACGTAATCATTCTCGATTGCATGTTGTGGGGGAGCGATTACGAGGTATGCTATTTTGGTTGCGCCTGAGGAAACTAGACAGATCAGCACGAGGCGCAGCACTCGAGCTGGAGACGGCACTATTGGCAATTTGACTCCACACACAGCTGTTCCTGGTACCTGTCACTTGTAGAGATGAGGGCGCGCAAGGCCAGGGGAGAATTATAGCTATATTTGCGGCTAGTTATTGCAGGATGGAATGCCGCGTCTTTGTCTGACGAGGAGATCGGCAGGCTCTAACTCTAGCGTGGGTGAGGCGTGAGGACGGGGACAGGGGAAGCTAAAAAAGAAGCCCCTGCGTAAGACGCAAGCCGCCGTGAAACCTTGGGGTCATGGCACTGGCGAGACCGATACGGCACGCCACCTTGTTGGGAAACGGTTTATCGATAGATAGACAGACGCGCACGCATCTTGGTCAATCATCACAACACAGTCCTGAATCATTGCACTCGTTCTCACTCTCGTTCATTGTCGCTGGATCGTGCCCTTGGTCACGAGATTCCCCGCGCTCGCTTGCTCCCTCGACACGTCTAGACGTCTCGCCCACCTTTGTTGCAGTCACTTGATCCTTGGCTCGGCACAGGAACAGCGTTTGGTGAAACGCGAATCGCTTCTTGCGCAAGCATCCCCAACCCACCACCTCTTCCGTCGCATCTACCATCGCACCTGCATATCATATCTATCGTCCTTCGCAGTCGGTCGTTCAGTCAGTTAGTCAACTCGGCGCTTGCGCATCATCGCTCCTTCCACTGGCGTCCTTCCTTCCTCCTCGGCAGGCCACGACACAGACGCCTATCGATAACCCCAGTCCGCGCAATCCAACGTCAACCGCCGCGCACTAGCTTCACACCACCCACGCCCGTTGCTATCGCCTGCGCACATTCACAGCCACGTCGATATTGATATTACCTGGCCGCAAAGAACAAAGACAGGTCGCATAGACCTACAACAACCGGCAAAATGGTCGAAGACAAGTACGTTGCGCCAAGGCACGCCGTTCTACACGAAAGGCCCCAGGAACTGACGATAAGGACAGATATGTAGGACTCATGCTGGCCGTGAGCTCGTCACTAGCCATTGGCGCAAGTTTTGTCATTACGAAGAAGGGCCTCAATGCCTCGATGGAGAAGCAGGGCTTCAACGGCGACGGCTTTGGATACCTACAGAACCCCGTGTGGTGGGCCGGCATAACAACGAGTGGGTGCACACGCGATACCATGCCGTGTGCGTGACTGATAGCAAACAGTGGTACTCGGCGAGATCTTCAACTTCGCGGCATACGCCTTCGCGCCTGCCATCCTCGTAACTCCTCTCGGCGCGCTTTCAGTTCTTATCGGTGCGGTACTTGGCTCATACTTCCTGGACGAACAATTAGGACTTCTGGGCAAGATTGGCTGCGCGATATGTCTTATCGGATCTGTCATTATTGTGCTACATGCGCCGCCGGACAAAGAGGTTGAGTCCGTTGAGGAGATCTTGAACCTTGCGCTTCAGCCAGGTACGTTTACGCGCGCGCTTCTGCCGTTAAGGCTACGACAGAGACTAACGCAACCTTTTTAGGATTCCTCTTTTACTGCGCTTTCTGTGTCGTCTTCTGCATCTTCATGATCTACAAGATTGCGCCCAAGTACGGTCGCAAGAACCCGCTCATTTACCTCTCCATTTGTTCTACCGCCGGCTCCGTCTCCATCATGTTCATCAAGGCCTTCGGTATCGCCCTCAAGATGACATTTGCGGGCAACAACCAGTTTACGCACCCCTCCACATACGTCTTCGTAATTTTGGTGGTCGGATGCATTCTCACACAGATGAACTACTTCAACAAGGCCTTGAGCCAGTTCTCGACAAACATGTACGTTCTGCATCCTCAAGTTTCACCAGCGAGTGCTAACGCACGACTACAGTGTCAACCCCCTCTACTACGTCATGTTCACGACTTGCACCCTCGTCGCGTCCTGTCTCCTCTTCCAAGGATTCAACACCACGTCTGCCGTCAATACCATTTCCCTGCTCTGCGGTTTCCTCATTATCTTCTCCGGCGTATATCTATTGAACCTTTCGCGCGAAGACCCCAACGGCAGCAAAGCATTCGGCTCGCGTTTCACCGACGGCCCGCCTTCTGACGCCATATCCGGTTTCCCTACAAGACGCAGTATGCAAGCGCGGCGCAGCGAAGAGCTGTTTGAGCGACAGTCGATTGGTGTCGTTCGTGATGGCAGGCCTAGCTATGCGGACGCCGGCGACCGTAGCGCTCTGATGCACGACTACGACGTTGAGAACCAGTTCGAGCTTGGAGATTTGGCCGACAGCGAGGACGAGTTGGAGGGTGGTCAAAACACAAAACGAACAAGCTTTGACGAGGAGGCAAGGTTAAACGGTAGACTCAGCGGCACAGGCAGAGGACGTGTGCAAAAAGAGTCGATACAACCGAAGAGGAACTCGTCAGTTCGATGAAACAGGTCGACCGACGATGAAAGTCGATGGGTGCAGGCTTTTGCCAGTCTGAGGCGTCTCAACACATACGGAGACAAGTCCTAGGTTTGAGGACACGACTGGTTTGCGGAATTGCATTGTATCGCATCGTGGCGTTTGAGGTGAAATTTGTAACATGGGGTTTAGGGTAGTGGAACAGGCGCCTCGGATCAAGGTGCCGGCCACTTGTACTTGTACTACGATAGCATGATATGTATACCCAGAAGGCATAGAGGAAGGATGGTATTCTTCTTTGGCACTTGAATTTCAAATATTTTCTATGTTCAATGATCTGCCACCAACTCTACGTGTCACGTACCTAACCTACCTCCTTGGGAAGCGCATCTAGCACGATACCATGTTGAAGCCAGTTTACTGTCCGTCGCTGCATTTCTGGGCTTTTGTCATGTTGAACAACGTGATAGCGCGAGCGCGCTAGGCAGATCTGGGTCTAGAACGCGACTTCCATTGATGTGCACAAACAAACCATCGTCCTCCACTCACGAACCGACTTCCTCAGCAACGGCCTTTGGGGCCGACGAATTACAGCCATGGCCACGACCGACTCGAGCAATGGGCCGCAGTTGTTGCAGCAAGCGGAAAAGATTTTGCTGCGCCCGATACATCCACATCTCATCTCGTACTGCCCTACCATGGATCTCATAGCGCTGGTCACCGATGAGGAGAGCCTCGACGTCTACCGAATTAATGGTCAAAGAGCGTTTGGATTGAAAAGGAAGAATGAGGATTTGCGCGTTGATGCGCTGCAGTGGGAGTTCAACGGCAAGAGCATTGCTGTCAGTTGGAGCGATGGAAGCACGGACTTGGTGAGTGCCGAGACAGGGAAGGTTACACACAAGGACGTCATGTTGCCGGAAGTCGAGGGCGCCACTAGTAGCATGGTAGAAGATGAGAATCCAGCTAGGGTAAGGTGTATAGGCTGGGGCCTGAACTTCATCAATGTGGAGACTGTGAAGAAGCGCACCGGCTTGAAACCGAGAAATGCCAACGGCGTTAGGCCTGCGAAGACTGATGTCTTTGGCAATCCGACGACGGAGGAATGGGATGCGTTCAAGGATGATACCACGCTGGAGGACTTTCTGCAGCGACAGCCGGACTTCCAGACCTTGGATATCGCGCCTGACCTACCGGATCAGCTTGCTATGATGGATATGGAATCGGTGCTACCTAAACTTCCCGCAATTCCCCTTGCACCAGCATTACCCTTCATGCGTGTCTCACAGGCGGATACTGGAGCTTTCAGTTCGCAAGCTGAGGTGGACTCGCTTCTGCATTCGCATCATCTGAAAGACCACAACTCTGTCGACATGTTCATTCGACTGACCGACCGTGGAGCCGTCCACCCCTCGATATACGACTCGCTCGAAACAGTCAACGTCCAGCTCCCGAGATCCTGGAACATGTCGAGCACGCCAATACTACATACAAGTCATCCGTACAGCTGTACACACAGCCTCCTGATGCAGACGTCATCGACCACCTCGCCACAAAGGAAGAGCATCGCCTATATCCCTCTGACACTGAATTTCATCCCTTCTGCAGGCATCTATCTGCATCTCATTGCAGCAAAGACATCACAACTACAGAACCTGCTCCTGTACATCACCCAGACCCTCCAACGCGTCCGCGCTTTCTTCAAGCACGCGCAAGACCTGCCCCGAAAATTCATGATGAACATTAGCGAAACACTCGAAGAGAAGGAACTAGGCGATCTTGTCACAAACCTCTTCCACACAGCATGCACAGGAAATTGCAACCCAGTCCTCAAAGAATGGCTTGTGGACGAATTGGCAGAAGCAGGACACAAGCGCTGGGACAACACCGTTACTTCCTCTTTCACCACGCTTCTTGCTCTGCTTCACGAGAACCTCATCCCGGCACTCGACCGTTGCTCAATTGTCATTTCGCGTCTGCGTGGACTTGCGCAGTTCCATGATCGAGATTGGATTTTCAGCGGACCAATGACGGACTTCTCGTCGCTGTTGGAGACGCTCAAGAATATGCGATTACTAGCCCACACAGCCATGTTGTACGCATCGGAAGAGAAGAGACAGTTTCATAGCTTCAGTAAATGGCTCAGATTCACCATTGACTTTGAGGCTACGGAGTTGGACTCGCAGTCTAGAGCTGAGATGGAACAGCGCGATCCTGGGGTCGATGTCTCGCAGGTACTGGCGTATATCCAGTATGGGCTTACCAAGTCGGATGTTACGCCGTTTCTCAGACCAGAGGCGCAGTTGGATGGTAAAGCGAAGGGGAGGGAGGAAGCGAGCTATGATGATACGAAAAAGGCTATCGAGTTGCTGAAAGAAGGTGCGACGTTCAAAGAGGAAGCGTTGTGCCTGGAACATGTTCTTGGACATTTGAGCACGGGGGTTACGGGACTGCTGAAGCAGATTAGCAGGTGGCAGGAAGCCAACATCCAGATGAACTCTGGTGTTGTTCTCGAAAAGATTGATGATGCCGGGGAGATGGGTGTACTGGATATGGGGATGGTGTTTGAGGTATGCTGCCCGCCTTCCTTCTTCCACCAACGCTTGTGAAGTCACAAATACTAACACTACACAGCCATCATCGACCTCAGATAGCATCAGCACCTACATCGCCCTCTCATCCCCTTCATCACCAACTCTTTTACACATTCACCGCATTTCACACGCACAGAGTATATCCAACCTACAGCGAGACATACACGCCTACGCCATCTCCACCCTCGACTTCTCTTCCGCCTCTCAGTCGACCAAAGACATCAAGATACTCGACGCAAAGTTCGCAGACGACGCCTGCCTTCTCATCCTCTTGCAGCTTCCCTCAGAGGACAAAACGCTATCAAACGTCATCGCCTCCCTACCGTACACACCCGCCGCCAATGATATACCTCACCAACACCCTCTTATCACCTACACCCCTCTTCCGCAGTCTTCGCTACAGCAACATTTTCTCCCACAAGGCACACCGCCGCCGTCACTACGGAATAAGATACTTGTAACGCGAGATTTGGTTCAGAAGCACACGCAACATGTGTTTGAAGGCCGGTTCACTCCGATGAAGTTGGTTGTGAATGGCAGGAAGGGTAGGAGAGTGATTGTTGTGTTGGGCGATGATAGGAAACACTATCGTGTGTTGGACATGGACTATAGGATGAAGAAGGAGAAGGAAGACGGGGATGAGGGTAGTGGAACTGGGACTGAGAGCGAAGCGGAGGACAGAGATGGCGATGTGGAGATGGGTGGAGCGTGAGGGTCATCGATCTGTAACAATGCTGTATTCCACAAGGCAAGCCGTTACATGCAGTCATGCGACATAAAAGTCTCGAGCGATCTGCTATAGAACATATTTAGTATGATAACACAACGTCACAGCACAGACAGATACAATGGATGGTGGACAATATCAGAAGTTCAGACCAGATGCATTTTTCGGAATCACATTCCCTAAGAACCTATCATGCATGCAAGCCACAGTAGAAGAAAGCCTAGCTTGCCGAGAAGTTTCCATTTCGTTATAACGCCCGGCCACCCGCATATAGAGGTATGGAGAGAATAACCGACCGCATCTTTGTCGTTCCTGTCGTAGACCAACGCCACCAGATCACAAAGCACCGCTCTAGTCCTTTGTCTTCTGGGTACCACGGAGCAGACCTGTCCTCCGCGCGGCGATGAGACCGGCCTTTTGACCCTGGGTGGCGTACCGGGAGATGGTCGAGGCTTTACCGATATGCTGGTGGTTACCACCACCGTGGGGATGGTCGACGGGGTTCATGGCAACACCACGAGTCCTGGGCCAGCTGTTGCGCTTGGCAGCGAACTGTGGGGTGTTAGTGATTGCGCTGATGCAAATACGACCACAATACATACCTTGTGCTTAGCACGCGACGCCTTCATGAGAGGCTTGTCTGTGCGGCCACCTCCAGCGACGATACCGACCATACCACGGCATGAGCTGGGAAGGACCTTCTTGGCGCCAGATGGGAGCTTGACACGGGTCTTGCCCTCATCGGGGTTGTGGCCGATAACGGTCACGTAGTTACCGGAGGTACGGCCGAGCGCACCACGGTCACCGTTCTTGTCTTCGACGTTGGTGAGGACGGTACCTTCGGGGACGGAAGCGAGGGGGAGGACGTTGCCGATGGTGAGCGCAGCGTTCTTTCCGGCGTAGATGAACTTTGCAATGTTAGATATAATTCCCGTTGTTGCGGCCCAGGGTATCTCGACTGACCTGGCCAGTGTACATGCCCTCGTTGGCGATGAAGGTCTCGGTGTTCTGCTTGAACTTGTAGGGGTTGCGGAAGGTGACCCTGGCGAGGGGAGCGCCTGTTCACGAAATCGTTAAAAATGGCCCAGACGTCCAATTCGCGACTGGGTACTCACCACGACCGGAGTCGTGGACGATCTCCTTTACGACACCCCGAATGTAACCATTGCGCTCAGCCTGCACCCATTAGCCCTCTGTTCCCAATGTGTGTGTCCAATATCGCGATTGTGCGGGCGGCGAACGTACGAAGTCGAGCGTGCGGAACTGGGCGGGGTTCTTGTTCAGGCGGGTGTTGGCCGTGAAGATAGAGCCGCGACCCTTACGTTGGTTGCGAATGACCCTACCCATGACGACGGTGTTGATGTGAGTTGGATTGTCGGTCGTTGGAGTTCGCACAATGGATAGGTATTTCGACAAGAGCCCACGTCGCTTATTTTTTAGTGGGTGCACGGGCCACTCTCTCCAACGTGGGCGACACCCTGGAGGCTCGTCATCAACAACAACAGCGAGAGCGTCATTTACGAATCTCAGATTCCATCGAAAAATCGTATCGGCTGTGACCATGGAACAGAGTCCGTCAGAGCGAAACCACAAATCAGCATCGCATCCCTCGAATCTTCGTTGAGAGGACGCGTTCCAACTTCGGGGGCTTGTTAGACGAACATCACCAAACTATTCGCCCCAGAGCGCAGAAGTTCCAACGGAAAAGAGTGTGCGTCTTTAACTCAGATTGAGGCCTGGCCATGGTCCGCACTGGTCTTTGACGTTGTACTTTGAAGTGCGCGATGATTGTGGTAGCTTTGAAGATTCTAGGGAGTCTATCCTCGGTGAAACACGACGGCTGTCTTCCCGAGTTTGCATGTTGCGTGCACATGCTCTACTCATATTGCCTCAGTGCATGACGGGAGCGAAAGAAGCGCAAAGCAGATACCGCGAGCATGTACGCGACACAACCGCGATTTATCAACCAACGCATTCGGCTGTGTTCAGAACCACGAAACCCCGGCCTTTGAAGTCAATACTCATTTTGCATCGGACTTACACACTAGAACGAAGCGAGTATGCACTCATCAGCGGAACATATCCTCGTAGCCATTGTTAGGCGCAACACCTCCGCGTCATTACATTTCATCACATCTCATTCATTCATAAACCAAGATCGGTTTCAGATCTTGACATCTCGATAACCTAAGATGATCGCGATGGAGTCCACATCGTATCCGTCTCTTCTCATGAGACTTCATATATCTATCTTGTGTTATTCATCGCAAAGGCAGCACATGCGTTCCGAAAGCGCTAGACTAAAGGCTCGTCGGCTTTGTAGCTAAAGCTGTGAGTTACCAGCTGTACTACTCACCAAAGCAGCACAGTAATTATTATTCACTTCATCATCACAACAAACGTCACAAGCAAGAAGGCACAAGTTTTATAGCTGTCTGTCTTCAAGACAACAGACCAGAGTGAATTTTTTCCAGCAAAAAGATGCAATATGTACATGCGAGGAGTATGTCAAGACCCCAAAAGAATCGAAAGAAAAACCAAAATCTACAACAAGAAAACCAACATTTACCAAGCTCTTCAGTAGTCCCTGCATTGCGCCAGCGACAAATCAATGCTTGATCCAGGTCATTGTCCAAGGCCACTCAGTGGCTCTCATGGAAGTGTGTCAACACTCTATGAGCCGGTGATGGTGTACTGGGACTTGCCAGCAGCGTTGCCCCAGCCCTCAGTGGCAAGAGTCTGGTAGTTGTGCTGACCGAGGTTCATGCCGAGCTTGGCCCAGGCGTCGAAGTGGCACTTGGTGGTAACAGTGCCGCTGCCGGGCCTCTTGTTAACACGGTTGGAGATGTACTGGGTGAAGGTGGTGGTGCCCTGGATGGAAGGCTGGTTGACCTGGGTGTGCTTCCAGATGTCGTAGACGGAGCCGTCGCAGGTGACCTGGCCCATCTTGGTGCCCTGGGCGGAACCAGCACCGTTGGAGGTGTACTCCTGGATGTAGTACTCGATCAAGGGGCCGGTGGTCCATCCGTAGACGGAGACGAGGACAGTGCCGGCGGAGGGCTGGGTGGAGCCCTGGAAGTTGATCTTGCGGGTCGTGCCCTTGTTCCAGCCCTTTCCAACGACGAAGTCGCCGGCGTTGGAGAAGTTGACGCTGTAGCCGTTGTTGGTGGGGCTGAACTGGACGTTGCCAGAGGTCTTGTAGTTCTGGTTGTAGTCCTGGCGGGCTGCGAGGCTCTTGCCCTGAACGGGGCTGAGCTCGAAGTCAGGGACATCGGCAGTGGGTGCGGCAAAGGCAGAGCCGGCAATGGCGGTAAGGCCGAGAACCATAGAGCTGAAGGCAACCATCTTGAAGATTGAAAGGTTGGAAAAGTGGGTTTGTTGTAAAAGAACGTTGATTGGTAGTGAAGAAGAGAATGTGGAAGTGAAGGCTGCTTGTGTAGATGCTTGGTGGTGAGCTTAATCGTCCTTCCAAGCCTTGGTCTATATACGACTTGACGGTTAAAAGGCTGTAAACATCTCGCACCAAACATATTGCGATTGTTTCAAGGTCCATGACCGAAGCCGCTGTCGCCTCGCCATCTGAGCGCTTGCCACTATCCGCATGCAAACGTGCTCCCGAGCCCCGGGGGACGCATTCCGTTGCTCGAACCCTGGACCTCAGACCATTCCACCAGTAGTGTAAATGAGCAGTACCCCCGATTAATTAAGCTCCGTCAAGCTACGGTAGACGACTATAGTGTTCTGTGGGGAAGCCCTGGCGTTTCCTCCCATTCCTGCAGATGGTTGCATGGATCGGCGTGCTTATTTCCCTCGGCAAAAGCTTGGGAAGGCTTGGATACCCTGGGACTTCCTGCCATGCGAAGAAACATACCGGTGGCTATTCTGGCAGCATTGACGTGTTCTGTGACCGAGTACAATGTGAATGCGGTGTAAGGGAGGGGGAAATAGTCATGTGTGCCTGTGCTGATCGCGTCAGACGGATCCAGGCGTCTTTAGGCAAGTCACATCAACAGCGGCCGCTACGGAGAGCCGAGAGAAGTACCGACGGGAGCACGCGAAACTCTCAGCAACAGAAGGTTTGGACAGGTGCACGACACTCGTTCATCATTATCTCGGTGTTCTTGCAGTCTACTTCATCCATCGAAGAAACAGTAGTAACTGCAATGCCTTGAACGCCCCACAACGACGCCATCATGCAAACAAGACTATAATGCAGATCCCCGTTGAAACACCCTTAGGGCATCAACTATCCATCGCCTCATGTTTCTGAGGCACAGCCCGCCACTATTCGCATGAGACAGCGCCACATGTCATGACGTTTCCACCAGTGTCGCGTAAGGTGCTGTCTCCTCCACTTCTTCCGATAATAGAAAGACGGCAGAACACCCTAGAAGATCAATGATCATCATCAAGGCAAAAGTCATGGTCAGAAGATTTACATATTAGTCCGCGGTACGAGATCGAACCGGCGGTGCTAGCCAGAGGGCGAGAAGGATACGGCCCAGTACGGGTGAACAGTTCCTGCATCGGTTCAGCTGAAACATCGCGTACCCGCCTCGGGAACCTCCCTCTCATCTCCGATCATGCTCTGGCGATGTTCTGGGCCCACGTTCATATTCAGCACGGCGTTGTTTTCAATGGTCTAGATTGATGTTGTTTCTTCATCAGCTGAAAAACAAGGCCGTTGAAATGAGAAACAGATATCAACCGGGAACAAGATTGAGCAACGTAATGATATACAGGTCGCGTGAGCGAGAGTACTGCCTCAACGACTTCAGCCATAGGCCGGTCCGTAGTGACGCCGCGACGCCGTTGTGCAAGCCTAAGGCACCTGCCACCGAATATAGTGCAGGCATAACTTATGTACATGGAAAGTAAGGCGCAAAAATGCCATTCGCCGTCGAGACGCTCATGACAACGCAGAAACGCACACGAATGCTTTCGTCCACCATCTAGCGCCGCGTAGCCTCAATGGCTTTCTCCAA